TAAAGAGCAAGGAGAGAAGGCATAGAAAGAGAGAAGGAGAGGAAGGAAGGAAGAAAAGGGAAAGAAAGAGGGCAAAGAGATGGGGAGAGGGAGGAAGGCTCTCCCACCCCCCCATCAAGCCCCCACCACCAACACCCACGCGGATCCCTCTAGCGTGGCCCCCGGGAGGCCAGCGATGCCCCCGGGGCACAGCACTCCGGAGTGAGCCCGGGAGTGTTATGTATTGCATTGTATATAACTGCTATGTGAACTGTGTAAATACTGATGTGTGAATCGACTGATTGAAACGCCATGTTGAGCTTCATCCTGGGCTAGGATCCTAATGTAACCAATAGGAGCCCTAGCCCAGAGAGTGTCTACCAATCACGCTGTAAAGCGGGACCGCTTGTGATTGGGCATTATATCTTCAACCTCATAGGTTGTTATTTGTACAGGGGGTGTGGCTACACTAGCCGGGAATGTTTAAATACAGAGCAGCCAGTGCTTGTCCTTCGGCTCGAGTGGTTCGAATGATGGTTCTGGCTGGCGATCGTAACTAAGCTGAAGAATAAACCGCAATTCTTGCTGAATCACTCTCCGACTCTTTGTTAAGCACACGACTTAACAGGGAGGTCCGCGATGGGCCTCCTCCAGGCTGCAGCGCTCTGTCGCAGGCTCCAGAGACCGACGGGCCTCTTCAGGCCTCCTCCGGGCCACAGCGCTTCAATGCGGGGAGCTGGGGGCGGGGCTTGCCGCCACCGCCATTTGTACCAGCTCCTGGGATGCTGGAGCAGCGCTCCAGCAAATGACCCCCGCTTTACAATAGTGTAGAAGAGTAACAAATCCAGCGGCACCTTTAAGACCAACAACATTGGGTATAAGCATTTATGTGCGCACACACTTTTTCAGATACAGTGAAACAGAAGTCCTTAACCATTGCACATGTGGAGGGTGTTGCCAGGAAGGGCTAATTAGAGTCAAGCTGCATAAGTAGCTGAGCAATAAATGTAGCTAAGATTGGAATAACACATATAGGTCCTTTGTGCACTTGAATCTCATCTCTGGTTTTATCAGAGTTCAACTTGTGACACAATACCTTGCATTTATCCCTGGTTATAGCAGCATCCATTTATCCCAGGACAAGTGTGGGGCGAAACCAGGGTGACCTCAATGTAATGTGAAAACAAAAATACCCCAAGATAATTAAAGGGTGAACTTGAGTGTAGTGTAGAATGTAAGTTTGGGGACAGGGTTGAACCAGGATTTAAGGTCTAGTGCGGAAAGAACCATAGTAGGACATGTAAATAGCAGCAAAGGAGATAACAGTGTAAGAACTGAATGACATTAGCAGGTTATTACCACCAATGGCCTGCCTTGTTGTTTGGGGAAATTAGCTATGCAGCAGGGGAGACCGGGGGTACAGGGATTGCATACCAATTGTATGCCAAGGTCTGGTCCAGTAGGAAGACTCCAGATTTGAAGAGTAAATTACATAGCTTTTATTGAAGAAGTGTGCTTGCACACAAAAGCTTAAACCGTGAATAAAACTTTGTTGGTCTTAAAGGTGCCACTGGACTCTAACTTTGTTCTGCTGCTTTAGACCAACACGGCTACCCCACCTGAATCTGTTTTGAGTACTGTATGTGACTGCTAGTGGCGTTCTGTTATAGTCTCTCTTGGACCTGCCTTGCAACAAATTTTCTCTGGGCACCATTCTAGCTTTGTTAATCAGTTTCTTCATCAGGTGAATATTTTAGTTCCAAAAATGTTTGTTGTAGATCGCTGAAGTGAGAATCTCTGTCTGTAGGATTGGAATAGATGCAGCCGTAGCATAGAGCCTGGCTATATACAATGCGTTGTTTGGTATGTTTAAGATGGTAGCTGAAGGCATGTAGAAACATACTGGAAAAGAGTCTTTTACTTCTATGAGTAAATTGTTGGAGACGGCTGAAAATGACAAACTGTCATTGTTGATGAGAGGGACAACAGATCCAAGATTTCAAAAGACGTGGAAAAAACTGTATGACTGGTATAATATAAATGCATAGTTTAAAGTAATGACATTTTTGGTATTATTAATCTCCCGGTGGGGGAGGTGTTAGCGAACGGAAGGTCTAGCGTGTGAGATTGAAAAGCCTAGAAAGAACTCTTAGGCATCAAGAAAGCCTGTAATGGGCTGTCTGGCCAGGAGGTGGCAGTGCTGCGCTGCAACTGAAGCAGTCCTGGAGAAAGCTGACACATCAAGCCACGCTGAGAGAAAAATGCCGTTGGAACATGTCTGACTTTACTGCTGAACAAACTCCCCATTGGCTACGAACATGTGTGATTTAAAGATTTATATGTTGTCCTCCCTTACCCCTTTGAATCATTGTTAGTCCCGTGTGTATTTGAGTAACTGTAAATCGCTCAGAGCCAGCAGCTCTGCAGGATTGAACGATTAATAAATTGAAAGATTATTATTATTATTATTTTAGTTTAATAGAAACTATGGTAAAAAGATAAGAGTATACAGAAACTTAAGCAAACCTATAGAAAGTGATTTAAAAAAAATTAAAATATGGTAATAGAGTAATAAGAAAATATACTGATCTCTTTGTATGTCTTATGTATGTAAGTGGTTGTTTATATGTTGTATGTATGTATGTATGTGTATAATATGAAAAATAATAAAAGTACCTATGGGTACTTAAAAAAAAGAGTCTTTTACTTCTGTGTTGTGGAGTCTAGTAATTTTGAAAGATATGAGGCACACAGTTTTAGGTCTTCATCTGTTCTTGATAAAAATTTTGGGATAAATCCCTGTTTTAAAACTAATCTAGCTAATGTATTGAGTATACAGATTTGAGAATATTAATCTAAAAACAAAAGTATTTAGGAAAGAATGTAAGATGTCTGAAGATTTGATTGAAAGTTATGTTGTGAACATGAGAAAAGGAGCATGCTCACCACTTCTGTGAAAATTCTAAAGATTAGTAAGTTTCCGCCCAGTTAACTACTGCTTTTCTGGATATGGTATTTTATAGCCATCTTCTGCTGTGTATTAATATTTTAATTTGGCTTTTATGATAGCATTTAAAAGTTAATCATTTTATGATAGGAAAATACTTTCACCTCATAAAATGTACAGAACATCAAAATGGAAAACATTTTAAGTTTTTTTCTTTAATAAGTAAACACACACACAAAATGATTTAGCCATTTTTTTAGCCTCAAATTATTCTGTAGGAGTTGTGCTTTCTAGAAAAAAAACATCTTTGCTACAGGGTAGTAATTCATAAATGTGTTCTAAGGCAGTAGGAGTTTTGTTAGGGACTACGCAGACTATCGCAGAACTATCAGCGAGTTCTTGAGTTTCCCAGAATTCTTTATCAGGCTAAATATTCAGTTAAAAAAAGTAGGGGGTGGAGAAAAAGTTTTGGGACATGACCTCTAATTTGCAGCTTGTATGTCAAAAGGGAGTAGATTATGAGTTACAGACTTAATTGAATTAGGTGCTGCTGGCTGGATAGGGGGGGGGAATTCCAAGATGTTGCAAAAACAACCATTCCCAACCATTTCAGAATATAAAGGCCTGTAGCTAAACAGATGCCGCCTCAGTCCTCATTAGAACATTGTTAGTAAATACTGCTGTCATTTCACAGCAAAGGAATTAGGGGGGGAAATGAATGACATCAGAAGCAAGGAATTTTGGCTGTAGCTTTTGACCTGAATTACCATCAGATGGCAGTGTTGCATGGGGATTTTGCTCAATTTTTGTTACAAATGCAATTGCCTTATTTGGGTTGCTGAGTAGTGTACTAGAATATAAAACGTGACATTTGGAAAGATTAAACAAAAGCCATTATTTCAGGAAGGATGGCGCAGAGTTGCTTACTGTTGCCCCATAAGGTTGGACCGGAACCAACGGGTTGAAATTAAATCAAAAGAGTTTTTGGCTAAACATTAGGAAGAACTTCCTGACAGAGCAGTTCCTCAATGGAGCAGGCTTCTTTGGGAGGTGGTAGGCTCTCCTTTGGAGGTTTTTAAGCAGAGATTAAGCAGAGGCCATCTAACAGCAATGCTGATTCTGTGAACTTAGGCAGGGAGGGTTACATCACTGCTTGGTTCTCATGGCCCTTTCTTACACACCCAGGGAAATGCCGATCACCACTTTGGGGCCAGGAAGCAATTTTTCTCCAGGCCACTTTGGCCCCCAGTGATCCTGGAGGGGTTTTTAATCATATTCTGGACGTGGAACAGGGGTCACTGGGGTGTGTTGGGGGGGTATTGGTGAATTTCCTGCATTGTGCAGGGGGTTGGACTAGATGACCCTGGAGATCCCTTCCCACTCTATGAGTCTATCATTCTATAATTCACCCAGGCTGGCTGTGGGCACGCCAGCACCTCTGTCAGGCAGAAGCGCCTGAGATCCTCCCCCTCCCCTTTTCCTTTGCCCGACTCGGGGGCGAAGGGAAGGGAGAGGGGGGA